TTCCATCCTTCCAAGGTCGGTAAAATGAGAACCCAGATTGTTGGGAGCAATAGGCTGACTCTGTAAACTGCTCAGAGAGGGCTGTAAAGCACTATGAAGCAGTATATAAGTCTAAGTGCTATTGCTATAGCTATCACATAATTGCAAACCTATACAAAATTTAGATTTTTTTTCCTTCAAAAATTTATTACAAATTGCGCCTTCAATTTTTGATTTATATTTTGGTAGCGCAATCTTCAGCGCTTCTAAAACAGAAAAATATATTGAATGGGTTGTAGATAGGGCATAGCTTTTCAGTGCACAGGTTTATAAAATTTTAGCACCGAGACATTTAGAAATCTCAACTGAATTTTTTTTTATCATTTCATTATTTCTGACTAGGTGGAAGTGTTTGACTTAACGTCAGAAAATGTTAATGAAGATGATGTCCTCATCATGGCAACAGATGGCCTTTGGGATGTTTTGTCCAATGAAGATGTTGCCCAAATTGTCAGAAATTTTCTCCAGAACAACACAACAGATCCTTACAGGTACAATTAGAGGTTGCAAAAATTATGGGAATATCAAGGTTATTCTATCTCAGTGGAACTTTATAGAACAGAAGTGTAACAATAATTAATAAATTCCATTTCCTGACTGATAGTTAACTATAATTTATATTGTGTGAACTTTTTAACATTAACAGTACAACTTTTAAAGGAATCCTTAAGAAATCTAAGGCAATAAAAATACTTGGCAGAAATACTGATGTTAAAAATATAAGAAGTGAAACATGTTAGTTAATCTGTGCAATTATAGTTCTGGTCCTTTATCAGTATGCTTTACTCACAGAGCTATTAGAATACCAGGCAACTAATACATTTTTACATAGAAAAAGGGCATAGCATTTATTGCTGGAGACTTGCCATATTTCTCAGAGTATAAGACACACCTTTTTCCCTCAAAAAAGAGGCTGAAAATCTGGGTACGCCTTATACACTGAATACAGCATTTTTTTGCCTCCTGAAACCCCACCCCTTCACCAAAATGGCCATTTATAGGTTGTAGGAGGCTTTCAGAGAGCTCCTGGGCCATTCTTTGCTCAATCCCCCCACCCCCCCAGCCTCCAGGAACACTCTATAAGCTTCCTAATGCCCTTTTTTTTGCCAGAAAACGGCCCTGTTTTTGCAAAAAAATTGGCATTTTTTGCTCATTTTTGCCCCCCTGGAACACACTACAAGACTCCTAAGGGCTATTCATCCCCCCCTTTTTTTTTTTTTGAAAAAAAGGGGTCCATTTTCACGAAAAACAGGCCATTTGGGGGAGGTTTGCAGAGTGTAAAAACTCTTTTTAAAAAATTTGCCTCTTTAAAACCTTGGTGCGTTTTATACTCCAGTGTGTCTTATACTCCGAAAAATACAGTATAGACGTAAAAAAACCCCCACCTGAATTAAATTTGGATGAATGTTTCATATGTGATAGCTTGAGTATTTATTCCGGGAGATATTTGATCTTTGCTTTTTAATTTACCTCTCTAGCTTGTAGACAACTATATTTTCTATCCCAACATGATATATGATTTTTTTCTCTTTATAATTCTTTACAGCTGGCAAAATACCTCCCTAAATTGACTAGGATGTAGGGGGATAAAGTTTAATCCATTTCTTAATAAAGAGATTTTTAATTTTTTTAATTCCTAAACTACTTTTTATAAAGATGAGAAAAAACAATTAGTAAAAGTGCTGGGGTATTTTTTTTTTTTTTTGTTATTTTAACTTGTTCAGGTTTAAACAATATTTTGCCCTTCTTTGCTGCTACAATAAACTACCATATTTTTCAAACTATAAGGTGCACATTAGCTGTAGAGGAGGAAAGCAAGAAAAAAAATCTGCCTCTGCCTCCCAGCATCCATTCGGTATTTATCTGGCTAGTGTCCTTGCAGCAAATAGCAAACAGTCTGGTCAACCTCAGCACATTATCGCAGCCCTAGCATGTGGTTTGTCAGGGCTCCGCTCCGTTGCGCCCACCACCGGTCAACTCAGCTGAGCTGCTGCCACTGGCAGGGAACACTGGAGCCGAGCAGCTAATTGGCAATTGGATTTGCCTCCTGGAATACTGCCGATCAACTGTTCTAGGCAGTGGGAATTGCTGCTGCCGCCGTGGCCCATTTTTGTGTGGTTGGTCACACATTATTTTCAGTCTTTGTTGGTAAAGAACAACACAGCTTAGTACAATCCGTCAATAATATAACAGCAAAAATGTGTTTTCAGGTGTTTGGGTTAAGTAATCACAATGCATAAGTACGATGCATATTTTTGTATTGGCAGCTGTCAGACAACAGTGTTTAGAAAACTATATATTTTTTCCATTCATAAGACAACCTGAAAATTTATTAGGAAGCACATGCACAAAGAACACACATTAAAGCTCAAGTAATCAGCACAATTTTTGTATCTTAATATAGAGTAGAGCTTCAAAAACATTTCTGGAACACTTGGATAATTCACACAGCCTGCTGTCCCCTCTTTGTGAAAGACAAAAATGGTTGCTCACTAAGCTTAAGGCCCTTGTAAATAGCTGTAGTTTCACTTACACTTTCCTACTTATCTTTTCTGTTCCAAGAGAAATAGAATGTCTGTATGTTAAGAAAAGTCAGTCACAGCATTTAGAATGTTTTTGTCTCAAACCTGAATTCATTTTCTGAATTTCAGTCAAAATGGTTAGTTCGTAGAATATATTGTACAATATTTATACCATTGATGGATATTTCATTTTTAGCTGTTGCTTTAGGATTATTTATAACTGCACTGCATAAAATACATTATTATTTTCACAGGTTTTCAGAATTGGCCAAACTGCTTGTGCAGGAAGCAAGAGGGAAGGAGGATGGCTATTACTGGATCAAGGACAGTAAAGAGCCTGCTTCTTATGATGACATTTCTGTATTTGCAATTCCATTGTATAACAAGAATGAATACTAAACAATATGCTGCTAAAGGAGGCACAACTGCTCTTCAGATGATAATGGAACTGTATCAAAACATACAGTTGCTGAGAAATGCAAATCCAGACTTTGAAAGCAGAATAACAGAATTGGAAGGGACCTCGGAGACTTCTAGTCCCGTGAAGGTGAACCTATGGCATGCTTGCCAGAAGTGGCACACAGCGCCCTCAGTGGGCATGCAAGCTGTTGCCCCAGTTCAGCTCCACCACATGTGCGTGCACTTCTCACCACCCAGCTGGTCTTCAGATCTCTGCTGCACATGCATAAAGGGTGAGGGGGGGGGCAGGCACACATGCATGGGGGGTGCATGCACGCCCCCCTGCGTATTGTATTTTGGGGGTGTGGGTGTATGCTTTGGGCACTCGGTCCAGAAAAGGTTAGCCATCACTGTTCTAGTCCAACCCCCAACTCAAGCAGGAAATCCAGACAAATGTTGTCCAATCTCTTTTTAAAAACTTCCCAGTGTTGTAGCACCCACAACTTCTGAAGGGAAGTTGGTCCACTGATTGTTCTGTCAGGAAATTTCTCCTTACTTCTAGGTTGGTTCTCTCCTTGATAAGTTTCCATCCATTGGTACTTGTCCTGCCTTTAGGTGCTTGGAGAATAGGTTGATTCACTCTTCTTTGTGGCATCCCCTCAGATATTGGAATCCTGCTCTCATGTTACCCCTTGTCTTTCTTTTCATTAACTAGACATACCCAATTCCTGCAACTGATTTTCATGTTTTTGCCTCTGAACCTAATCATCTTTGTTGCTCTTCTCTGCACACTTTCTAGAGTCTCAATATCTTATTTATAACTGGATGCAATATTCCAAGTGTAGTCTTACCAAGGCATTATAAAGTAATACTAGCACTCCATGTGGTCTTGATTTTATCTTTCTGTTAATACAGCCTAGGACTGTGTTGTTGTTTTTTTGGCAGTTGCAGCACACTGCTAGCTCATATTTAAGTGACTTAAGATCCCTCTTGCAGTTACTACTATTGAACCAGATACCATCTATTATATACATGGCATTTGGTTTTTCTTGCCTAAGCGTAGAACCTTACATTTCTCAACTATGAATTTTATTATGTTAGATAGGATGTCAAAAGATGTTGAGATCCTTCTGTATCTTGAGCTCATCTGGAGCGTTGGCTATTTCTGCTAGCTTGGTGTCCTCTGCAAATTTGATGAGTACCCCTTGTATGCCCTCATCTGAATCATTGATGAATATATTGAAGAGTACTGGGCCTAAGACAGAGCCTTGGGGTACCCCACTACATACTTCTCTCCATGTAGATGCAGTTCCATTGAGGACTACATGTTGGGTGTGGTTGATCAGCCAGTTATGAATCCCATCTGGTGGTGATGCTGTCTAACTCAGAAAAGATCATTGACTTACTTTGTTTCACACTAATCTTGTGTTTTTCTTGGTTTTACAAGTTGCTAACTTACCATAAGTGCTAATTTAGTATTTTTATTAAGATGAAGAATTTAATAGGAACTTAACATCTATTTTGTAAGAGACAATTTTTATATTGTGGCCTAAAACTTTATGCAAGATCTAGTTTCCTCAGCAATACAAAATATATTAAAAATAGTAGTAAAAACATATTGCTATACAAAGCCATTAGCAAAGATCTGTCTTAAAGTTGCTCAAAAATTTGAACTACAGGAAATGGATTAATTTCCTGTTAAATATTAAAATGTTCTTCATTGTATGACTTCAGACTGAATCTGTCAAGACAACACACTGATTTGGGCTTTTGACAACAATTTTTATTGTAGCTCAGATTATCTTTGTATTTTATGTGTGTGATTGTATTTATATATAAAACTTACCTGCATATTAAATTGTAATAGTATAAGCATGGCTTTAATATCAAACATAAAGAATATATATTTAATATCTTAAAATAACTTTATTTTCAATAAAATATGTACCAGCAGAATTTGTCTCATTTATTTGAAATAGCAAGGTCATTTCATATTTATTTTTTATTTATTAGCTTTAAGTGCAGTTTTAAAATATTACACAGTACTGGTACATTTTAATATACCCAGTGTTTGATATATGCTATTTTCAGAATGATTGTCTTATGTAAATAGTGACATTCCATGATTCATTATAAAATGTTTCATTACTTTGGCTTGTCATAAAAATGATTTTATCAAAATACTTTTTAAAATAAAGGTATTATCTTTTCATCTGTCCATCGAAATATTTCCCAGGTATTCCCATTGTTTAGCTAACCAATTTGCTATAGGCAAAAATGTAATGTTTTCACTCTGTAGTTTCTTAATCTGGCCATCAAATATGCATAGCAATTGAATCTTTTGTTTAGCTACATATTTCTTTAAACAGAGTCTTCCAAAATTCCAATACTTTATTGCATTCCCACTAAAGATGAAATAATGTTCTCTTTGACTGTCAGTTTCATCAGCATCTCAGAATGTTGATAAGTTACCGTATATAGGAGCTTGATGCCACTGATGTAGAAGTTGAAGATATAATTCCTTTATTAATACTGATAAAAATTCTTGATGCTGCCATAGGGATTGACAAACATCTTTAATTTTAATATTTATTTTTAAATAACTAAAAAACCCAATTGTTCCCTTTTCTCTTAAGTTCCAGTTTCTTTTAGTCCTGTGGCAGACTTGTCATAATACATTTCAAGTATGTTTTTTTGTAGCCCATCTTAACTCAAGGCAGCGAACATATCCAACCCATCATCTTCCTCCCATTTTCCCCACAACAGCAACCCTATGAAGTGAGTTGGGCTGAGAGGGAGTGACTGCACCTATGGCAGTGGAGGGGATTTGAATTCATGGTCTCATGCTTTCTCTAGCCTGGTGCCTTAACCATTAGACTAAATTGGCTCTCAACAGTGTTGGAAATCCCATTTTTGGCAGCATGTTTTTATGATGGTATATGTTGATTTAAAACAGAACGAAGCTTGTTTCTGCCAATTAGAATTTTGTCAACATTTTATTTTTTTAAGAGGGTTTGAAATAAATTTTGGGCGCCACTACTTTACTGCTGTAGGACTCAAAATGTTTACATAAATCTTGTCTTCTTTTAAAACTACAAACAGGACTATAATCATTATGGAATAGCTTCAATTATTTGATATGCTAATTCCTAATTACCTAAGATTTGAAGGGGAAGATCTAAGATACAGGAAATATTTTTTTTTATGGAGTGTATAAATGCAAACAATTGTGGACTTTTTGAAATTAACTGCTAAGCTGAAGACTGACACTCTCTTGTTCTTTTGCATTGGAAATTATAGTTGTTATTGACAAATACATTCAATAATGTTTACTTTCAATGCTAATTCCCTTAATTTGGTCATTTGCACAAAGTCCATTTTGGTGACTTGATGCTTCTTGCTATGAGAAATTCATGGCGGACTAAATATCCTTGAAGGAGCTGGGATGGTACCGCGGCAGAGATTGGCGGCCAGAGAAATCCTAATCAGCAGGCTTTCAGGAAAAAAGGAGAGATTGTGAGATTGCCAACTTGCACTCTGGATTGCTACGTTTCGTGAACAGACTGCAGAAACTAAAGTTGTAGTTGAGTCATGAGTGGCTGGGAATGGCGGGATTTCAATCAAGCTCGTAATCACGATGCAATAATTTCTTAAACACTTGGATGTAATTAATTTACAGTTAAGAGATTTTTGGAGCAGCAGGATAAGAGAATTTGACTTGGTGAAAATCGTTTTGAATTACAAAAGGGAAAAAAAGTTTTTTAAAACTTTTGGTAAAAACTAATGTAAGTAAATTTAAGATAAGCTATTTGATTATTTTGTGAAAATGCTTTTGAACAAATTGGGAAGGGCATTGGAGGATAAAAGAAAAAAAGAGATAAGCTTTCCTTTTACTTTCTCTCTTGTAATGGAGACACAGGAGAATATTACAATTACAACCACTAAAAAAGTGGCAAAACAGTAGAGGGAAGAGGATCACTAGAGCAATCTGCAGAGAGAATTACACTAGACTTACTCCAGGGAATATTTGAGGAATTGGGAAGTACACTATATTGCCAAAAGTATTTGCTCACCCATCCAAATAATCAGAATCAGGCATTCCAATCACCCCCATGGCCACAGGTGTATAAAATCAAGTACCTAGGCACACAGACTGTTTTTACAAACATTTGTGAAAGAATGAGTCACACTCAGGAGCTCAGTGTATTCTAGCGTGGGAGTGTGATAGGATGCAACCTGTGCAACAAATCCAGTCGTGAAATTTCCTCGCTCCCAAATATTCCACAGTCAACTGTCAGCTGTATTATAAGAACATGGAAGTGTTTGGGAATGATAGCAACTCAGCCACGAAGTGGTAGGCCACGTAAACTCGCCAACATCAGAGTGTGACCTCACAAATGCCCTTCTGGAAGAATGGTGAAAAATTCCCATAAAAACACTCCTGAACTTTGTGGACAGCCTTCCCAGAAGAGTTGAAGCTGTTATAGCTGCAAAGGGTGAACCAACGTCATATTGAACCCTATGGATTAGGAATGGGATGTCACAGTAAGTTTATATGCGAGTAAAGGCGTGAGTGAATACTTTTGGCAATATAGTGTATATTAGCTAAATCCCTTAATACTAATTTGACATCTAAAAAAAACACCCAAAGTGGTATTTTGTCCAAAAACATTTAAGACAGAAGGAAATACATAAGCTAGTCAAAATATGACACTGCATTTTCAACGTCCAAATGGTTTACAATTATATGAAAACGGGTTGGATGCAATTACATATTTATCTTACTATCTTGAGCTGTTAAATAGCCAACCAATGTATTTTGACATAAGAGTGTGCTTAGAGATGAATTTAAAAAGGAATTTAAAAAAACCCAATTTATACAGGAGAGCAATCCTGTCTTATACCTAATACTGTAATTTATTTTTTAGTGAAAATATTTATAAAAAATATTCAAGCTGCAAATACAGATGTAAAAATGCAGTATGTTATTAGAATGCATAATGTAAGAAATCAGAATACATTGCAAATGATAACATTTCTAAATAAAAAAGAACGATCCCACAGTCAATTCCCAGTAAAAAATTAACTTTTACTCAGTTAAAAAAACCAGTTCAAGGGTTAAGGGCAGTGTATTCAAAAGTGTATTCATTTCTTAAAAAGACATTTCTATTGATTTGTGTTACTGAAGAAATGATGCTAAAATTATGAACAGGTCTAAAGTTAATTAAATGATATCTAGTAAAAACTGGCCATAAAAAAGAATATATTTATAGTGTATTGTGCAATTAATTGTCATAAAGGGCACTGTGAACAACAATCCTGCCCTGTGTCCCAAAATTGCTGCTCATTGGCCTGCAAAATCTTTCACAAAGAAGCCAAGAGGTAGAACATTGATGTATCTACAGTAATTCCCTAAACTGGAGTTATCTGTATTATTCGATGCTGGCTG